CCAATAGTATGCATTCAACTTGAAAGCCAAACATTATAGAACATAGCACCTAACTTTGGAACTTAATAATGTCCATTCGAGTATAATCAAAATGGATTTTACTAAGGATAATTTCCTGGCAAAAATGTGCCTACTAGGAATAATAAGAATGCATTAAACCGCATATGAATATTTGTTCAAACTACTTGTTCTGCCAAGTTTGTAAACACAGGGACTAGACTAAGCTTGCAATGTTAAGTTGAAATAATTGGATAAAAATGAAATAGCCCTTTCTCGGAAAATATGTGCATATCTTGGTCAATGAAGAATTGGATTTGCACAAAATAACAATAGAAAACAAGAGGGCTCTGGAGAATAGAAAATACATCAGTCAACATTCAAGAAATGAATTGCTATTATAGCTGAAACTAGAATTAAAATGCAAGAACTTTATTGTCATTGTACAAGTACAACAAAACTATGGATGCACCCCAGCAACTGTTCACAATACAATAAAACCAAAGCACTTAAAGATGAAGATAAAAAAATAAGAGTACCTGCGTCTCCATTTGCAATTAGAGAGTACAATATCTACGAATATACACAAAATATACATCCAACACTGACTGTGACGCTTTGCCGAGTGTAATACACAAGAGATGGATTGTACTGTAATATGTTATTATACATCTGAATGAGGTATTGAAATTTCACATCTTTTCACATCTTAATAAGGTAGTGACTTTGTATTTATTTGCGGTTCGGATGGCCCAGGGAAAGAAACTATTTGTTAGTCTAGTGGTGTGGGATTTTATTGACCTAAAGCGCCGTCCAGACGGCAGCAGGTCAAAAAGATAATTGCCAGGGTGTGAGGTGTCTTCTCTGATGGCCTTGATTCTGCTTTGGCAGCGAGACCTGGCTAAGTCTTCCAGGGTGGGCAGAGGGCAGAGGGGGAAAAGGAATGAACAAAATTTTCTCCATATACAGAAATGCATTAGATTAGAATTTAAACTATATTAGATTCTGACATATAGAATATGATATTTTCATCCTTAAGATTCTTTCAAATTGGGTTCTTTGTGAAGCTTTCGTTCACTCATCTAGGCATAAGCTGAAGACAACCATAAGAAGCCATAGTTTAATTTATACAGAAACTCAGTTCTGTATTTTTGTCATACATTTCTAGTGAAACCCAAAGATGCTTTTTTCAAGAGGCAACTGGACTTTCAGTTTTTCTTTGAAGACTTTTCACTTCTCATCTAAGAAGTTTCTTCTTTTTTTCTATGACATCATCTATCTCCAGGTTACAACACCGTCTCTTCAGCATTTTCAAGAAGGCTCCACATCCATTTGCACACTCAGGTGACCCTGGGGACACAGAAAACCTCCAGGTGACCTTAATGACTCACTAAAAGAATGCAAATGACCAGCTGTCTGCAAGGAGTATAAATCCTTCCATTCCCCACCATCCAGTCAGAGCTGAAGAAGCTTCTTGGAAGCTAAACATCTTCAAAGAAAAACCAGAAAGTCCAGTTGCCTCTTGAAAAAGCACCTTTGGGACAGTTTATTGTTGTTCCCAAGGGAAAAATTAAGAGAGCAGGTGCTAGATATGCCACCTTCATCTCACAGAGGAAAAATGAGAAATAAATAGATAAAAGAATGTTATTTAGTGGTATGCAGCCAGTGTTCGCTATTCTTATTGCCTCTGATTTATCAGCACTCCATTTTGTCAATCACAAGAGTTTCACTTTTATAATCCACCTGTCAGTCATAAGTGCTTTTCTTTTATAATTGAAATTCAACATCATAATTGAAATTCAAAATACCTTCAGTTTAAAATGTTTGTGTAATACAGATCAATTGCCTGTTCCATTGAGAACGTTTCTCTATGTCCTCCCTTCCTCTTATTCTTCTTAGAGAAAGAAAGAAGGGTGGTCTAGCACAGTTTTAAAGACCTTTTGAGGGATTCCTAATTTTCCCTTTATTCTAAATATTTTGCTTTTTTCACAGAGATCAACTTGGACCAGGAATTGATGCCTAGCGTCACAACAGAGAAAATGTGTTAAACCTTTTGTGGCACCAAAAGGTATCAGAAACAACAGCAGCTCTCATCACAACTTCTACCGCTATTCCTGTCTAAAGAAATATCTATTTGTTTATCATCTATTTATCACATCTGTCTGTCTGTCTGTCTCTGTCTCTTTCTCTGTCTCTCTCTCCGTCTCTCTGTTTGTCTGTCTGTCTCTGTTTCTGTCTCTCTGTCTCTCTCTTTGTATCTATCTATCTATCTATCTATCTATCTATCTATCTATCTATCTAT